TTGTGATAATTTTGCACGTCTTGGTTAGGTATAAAACCTATATACCTTTTTTTTTTGGGTACGGAGACGATATTATTTATGTTGAGTACATTTGTTGGTAGACGTAAGACACAGGCCCACGAAATTATACTCTTGCATTTATACACCTCAAAACTATATATTTACATAATTACATTTTATCGTTTTGTAAAGTGCTCAAGTTCCGTCACATGCAATCAAAGTCTTCTTGATTTCGTCATCAAGATATTGACATTTCCTAAATGGATCCGAGATCTTGTTTAACGACAACCAAAACACGTTAAATTGTTTTTTTCCCTATCGTTAAACTGCAAAGTTATGAATTTTAAATATATAAAAATCCCTCGACCATTAGCAAACACAATTCACTATATACCATTTCATTGGAAAAACAATCTTGTCACTAAATATGACTACTCGATTACTAAACTTTCGCATATAATTTTCTAGTCAAATTCGTATTATCAAATTTAAAAAAGAATTAGTCTAAATGTGTTTATGTTCAAGAACGGTTCTTAATTGTTGAATTCTTTGTCGCATAAGTCATTGTTCATTGATCTCTAAAATACCCTATAATCCAATGTCTTTAGCTACTACTTAGACATTATCTTGCACACTAGCTACCACTTAACAAATTGTTTATTTAATTTTATTTTTTCGTAAAACTAAAAACTGTATTTTTAAACATGAATAGTATATAGACATTATTTAGAGGGATCAGTATACAGTTTAACCAGATTTAAAGAAGTTTAACATGACTGAATTAGACTTTGTCCCAAAAAAAAACATGACTGAATTAGAAAACTCAGAATAAAATGGTGCTTACCTGAGAAACTCAAAAATACAATTATTGGTGATTAATACTTTTAAAGTTTTATGTGGCTCCATGTGTCCAATTTCTGATTTGAGCTGAGGTTCTCTTTAAGAAAAGAAATTACTAGCTAAGACATCAGATTAGTCAGACTGTATTAGCTAATAAAAAGTTAAGCGCAACAAAAGTATATATAAAAATAATTATAAAAAAAATTAGTCTGCTCTCTTTATTCTTTTTCATGTCCACTAGCAGCGGAATTAATCAAATACTCCACCCCCACTTACATATAAATTATAAATTATGAATGCGATATAGCATCATAACGATGACCAATTAAAAGGTATGACGTGATGACTATACCAATTTATCAAAATATGGACGAAGACATTTAAACTTTTTATCAAGATCGTGCGTCTGACATTAGACCCCAATAAAATTCCAACTATAAGCTCACGTCATAGACGCAAATCGGGAGAAATAAATACTATATTACAAACTACATCGAGAGCAAATAGATAATAATAAAAAAAACAAATATAATTTTAGAGTTGAACAATTGGGTGACAGCGATACTACGTAATAAGCTATATTAGTCATAGCTTTTTATTATTTGCCTTAGAAAAATATTCGTTAATATTTTGAAGAGAAGATTACAAACATGAACTAGTACCCTTCTTTAAGCATTTCACTGTTCAATAAACGACATTACTTAGAAACCAAAGCGCAAGAGGCGGATATTGGGTTTAGAGGATTTCACTTAGTCTTTAGAGATGATATCATTCAGAAGTTTGGCCTCACGTTAAGACGAGTCGCTAGTTTCTGTCCCAGTGATTTGTCTGCCTGAGACCAGTAAGAGATCCAAATGCTGCGGATTTCGTGCGTGACACGAGGCTCCGAAAGCGCTTCAACAAAACGCTTTACGAACCGCTCTTGCCTATTGGGTACCAGACAAAAGAAAATTAGAATGAATTATGACATTTGTGGTTCATGTGTAAGAATTGTTGATTTTGCAAAGTGGTTTCTGAGTTTATTTATAGTGTTTACCTGTCTGAATCCCAGGAACGGTATCTCTCCCCTGGTTGCTGGAAGTTGTTCTCCTTCCCAATGAAGCACTGTGATATAACGATGACATTTGAGTTTAACTACGTGGAAAAACTTGTGATCAATATTAAGGCATGTAGAGGAATCTGACCTTCTCACGATTTCCAGTGCAGACTATAGGAGTTGTAGGGTATTTTTCGGCATGGCGAACTGGATCCAACCTTGAAGGGAAGTAATTGACCTGGAATTGGAAAGTAACAAATTTACTTCATATAAATGTGAAAATGGTGGTGAATTTAAGTATCTGAGAGTTTCCAGAGCCGAGAGAGATTATTACCTCCTCATCCCTGTGCATGAAGTTCATAAAACCATCATGGTGATTGTTGTGGTGAGCACATTTAGGGGCATTGACAGGTAGTTGCAGATAGTTTGGTCCAAGACGGTGTCTCTGACTATCAGCGTAGGAGAAGATCCGGGTCTGGAGTAGTTTATCATCTGAATAGTGGATGCCTGGAACCACAAGAGCAGGACAGAAAGCAATCTGTTCGTACTCGTTAAAGAAGTTGTCGATGTTTTTGTTCAAGACCAAGCGGCCAACAGGTTGTAGAGGCAAGATATCTTCAGGCCAGATCTTTGTGACATCAAGCGGATCGAAATCGAATTTGTCTTCGTGGGCAGGATCCATCACCTGAACGAAGAGATTCCACTGTGGATAGTTCCCGGCTGCGATCGAGTCATAGAGATCTTTAGTAGCATGGCTGTGATTGGATCCTCCAACTCTGATAGCTTCCTCATCCGACAGGCATTTGATCCCACAAGTCGGCTTCCAGTGGAATTTCACATAGTGAGCTTTTCCAGCTTTGTTGATTAGCATGTAAGTGTTGACCCCAGCACCTTCCATGTGCCTGTAGTCCTGTGGGATACCGAGATCATCAAAGAGGAACGAAAACATGTGCAAACTCTCTGGGTGGTGGGAGAAGAAGTCCAGTATTCTCCAGTTCTCCTGAATGTGGGACTTGGGATTCGGTTTCAATGCATGGACCATGTCAGGGAATTTCATTCCATCACGGACGAAGAATACAGGGAAGTTGTTCCCAACAAGATCAAAGTTCCCCTGAGTTTGCAAACAGAGGGTAATAAGAATCAGAAGAGTACAATATGATTAGCAATTAATCAAATAGGTGGTAAAACGAAATAGATGAGCAAATAAAACATTCCAACAACAGCAAACACATAGATATTGATTACAGAAAACAGAGAGACGATGGAAGGATAAGACAAAAGCTAACCTCTCTGGTGTAAAACTTAACAGCAAAACCACGAGGATCTCTGAGAGTCTCGGGACTGCCACGCTCATGGATGACAGTTGAGAAACGAACAATAACAGGAGTCTGAGCACCAGGTCCTCGAAGAAAATCAGCAGAAGTAAGTTGTGTAATGTCATGAGTGACTTCAAAGAAACCCTTAGCACTGGCTCCCCTGGCATGAACTACCCTCTCAGGAATCCGCTCCCTGTCAAAGTTGGCGAGTTTCTCAAGCAGATGATAGTCCTCCAGAAGAATTGGACCTGACAGTATACAATATCATCGTTTCACATTTCTAAATTTTCAAGAAAGCAAACAGAATAAACATTGGAAGAATTAATAGATTTGGCATATAAATGAAGGAAGAGAGCTGATTCACGCAAGTCCAGAAAAACACTAATGACATTCTTATCTAAACGTTTATAAAAATTATTTGGCTTCCATTACTCTAGCTTTAAGGACATCTCTGACAACCACTGGTTCAACCTATTTGCTATAATTTGTATTCGAGAGATAAAGAAAGAGAGACGCACCTCGAGTTCCGACAGTCAAAGAAGAGTTGTTGTTCCAGACAGGAGCACCCGAGTTTGTAGTGAAGAAAGGGGAATCATGAGCGCTTGAAGGACGAACCTGCAGTCAACAAATAAATTCAGAAGAATAAAAAATGCAACTGGATCAAAAAATTTAACCAAATTCCCTTAAAATGGAGAAACGTCTTTGACAAATGAGATACTTGTAACTAGATAGATAACAATGCCACAAAGTATATGATCCATTTAACTTAAAATTCAACTAAACAAAAAGTAAGATACAAATCACGAAAACGTTAGCATTTCCGAGCTGATATTTAAGGTACAATGATATTCACAATCAAACACAGTGATAAAGAAACCTTAAAACATGAGCCTTAAGACTTGTTTGATTAAACAATCAATAGACGAAGAAAACATGTAGAATCCTAAATATGTACCAGTTTTCTTTTCTAATATTCAACGCATGTAAATCCCAAACCTGATCTCTGCTAAATATTAAAGAAATTGAGTTAAAGACCCCACAAAAACCTCAATAGGTCGAACAATCACCCCAATTTTGCATATCATTTTAACCGAGAGAGATCGTATACTTTGTAGTATTCAACACCAAATCAAAAACCAAATTGATACGAAATCAAGTAAGGCAAAATTTCAGATTACAAAAAAAGGAGCCTAAAGAGAATCGATCGATGTACCCTGTATGGATCCATGATGCCGCAAGACTAATTTTGATCCCAAATTTTCCTTTGTGATTTTTTTAGTTGAGTCTCTCTACGCAAATCGGCGTGCGTCTGCACTGTTGTCGATTTTTTTTATAGCGAGCCAAAAGCTAAAATATCTTATTTTAGCTCAATCCCAAAATCCCGCCGCGATAAAATGAGACAAATCTCGTTATGTATCGCGATACAAGCAAAAAACGTATGTGTTTTTTCTTTGTTTATCCTTATCCAAATGATAATCAAACTAATTACGTGTGGATGATATATCGTCTTTAATTTCGTCAGATTCTATACCATTAATAGACAATTGTGGATCCAATTCTGGATTCTCCTTAAAATTATACATAACCAAATATTTTCTCTGTTTTTTTTTTTTTTTTAATCTAATGCTGAATTAAAAATGAGAGAGTGGTGATTTAGGTGAATAACCAAAAAAAAAGAAAAATTAGTTTTTTAGAAAGAAGGTAGAGAGAGATAGGAAGAGAAAGAGAGTGAATAGAGGGGTTAGAGGTTAGATATTTAATTTTGTTTTTTTTTTAAATTATCTAGTGCAATTTCTCTTAAAAATATATGTATACGACCACCATAAGAAACATTGATTTATTGTAAAAGAGATTACAAAGACACAGACTGTGCGACTAAAACCGAAGGAAACAAGAGTCTATGGGATTACAAGCATATGCATTATTATTATATTGACATGAAACAACAACACAGGTGGAATATCTTTTGACGGATTTAACGACCAAGCGATGATGGATCGATGAGATTGTGTACCTCGCATTAGACTCAACTTATCTGGAGATTGGTCTCTAGATGCTTGGCCTCACGTTCAGACGGCTTGCAAGTTTCTGTCCCAGAGATCGATCAGCCTGAAAGATAAGAGAGATTATAATGTTTAGTTTGCTGAATATTTGGTGAAAAAGGAAGCAGAGATTTCACTGAGTGGTTTTTTGTTCTCACCTGAGACCAGTAAGAGATCCAGATGCCGCGGATCTCGTGGGTGAGACGTGGCTCCGACAGAATCTCAACCCATCTCTTAACAAACCGGTCTTGCCTGTCTGGTGCCCATGATCTGTACCTGTCTCCAGCCTGTTTGAAGTTGTTCTCTTTCTTGATGACGCACTGCAACATTAGCAGTTTCAAGGTTTTCTTAGCAGACACTTTTCAATATATTGAGTCTGAGGTTTTCAAGATTTAAAGAACGCATGTCATGAATCAGACCTTTGTTCGGATTCCAGTGTAGGAGTTTGTAGGGATAGGAGCTTTCTCGGCACAGCGGACAGGATCAAACTTTGAGGGGTAGTAATTGATCTGTAAAAAGCAAACACCCTATAAGAATTTTGATTCCAAGTCAAAAGACTAACAATGGTAGCTCAAGTGGTACTAAGACGTACCTCCTCGTCTCTGTGCATGAAGTTCATAAAACCTTCATGGTGATTGTTGTGGTGAGCACATTTGGGAGCATTCACTGGTAGCTGCAGATAATTTGGTCCAAGACGATGTCTCTGAGTGTCACCATAAGCAAATATCCTACACTGGAGCAGCTTGTCGTCTGAGTAGTAGATTCCAGGAACCACAAGACCCGGGTTGAAAGCGAGCTGCTCAGTTTCATTGAAGAAGTTGTCAATGGTCCTGTTCAGAACCAAGCGACCAACCGGTTGCAGAGGCAAAATATCCTCAGGCCAGATCTTGGTCACATCAAGTGGGTCAAAGTCAAACTTATCCTCATCCGCAGGATCCATGGTCTGGATGAAAAGTTTCCACTCGGGGTAGTTGCCCGATGAAATGGCATCGTGGAGATCCTTAGTGGCATGGCTATGATTGGCTCCTCCAACAACCTTGGCCTCTTCATCAGTCAGATTCTTGATCCCGCAAGTTGGTTTCCAGTGGAACTTCACAAAGAGAACTTTTCCAGATTTGGCAACAAGAGTGTAGGTGTGGACACCGAAACCCTCCATGTGCCTGTAATCTTGTGGAATACCAACATCATCAAACATCCAGCACCATGTGAGCAAACTCTCTGGCAAGTGGGACATGTAATCCAGAATCCTCCAGTACTCTTGGATGTTTGTTTTCGGGTTTGGTTTCAGCGCGTGGACAACATCCGGGAACTGAATCCCATCACGGATGAAGAACACCGGAGTGTTGTTCCCAACAAGATCAAAGTTCCCCTGAAATTATCAAAACAGTAGCAAGACACAAATCAGTACAGATTCTAAAGAAGCTAAAAGACTGATTAAATTAAAAATGGAAACTTAAATCTTTTCTTATACCTCTCTGGTGTAAAACTTGACAGCGAAACCACGAATATCCCTCATGGTTTCAGGACTAGCACGTTCGTGGACAACGGTGGAGAAACGGACAATAACCGGAGTTTGAACACCAGGAGCTCTGAGAAAATCAGCACAAGTGAGGTTAGAAATGTCATGGGTGACTTCAAAGAAACCCTTAGCACTGATTCCTCTGGCATGAACCACTCTCTCAGGGATCCTCTCTCTGGTGAAATTGGCAACCTTCTCGATCAGATGGTAGTCCTCAAGAAGAACCGGACCTGCTCAATACGAAGCAACACATGTTAACTTAAAAGAACACATCAGACTCCATTAACAAGATCCTAGCTTTAGACTCTATATCTCAGTTTCATCTCTTCCATAAATCCAGCAAGTACAAGGTTACAGTTCCGATTCTTATGGTTAGATACTTTGAATTCAGGATTACAAATACCTCTCTCTCCGATGGTGAGGGAAGAGATGTTGTTGGAGACTGGAGTACCACCGTTTGTGGTGTAGAATGGGGCGTTGTACGCGCTCGAAGGACGATACTGCAATCACCATAATTCGGAGGTGAAATTTGGTTAATTGAATCAACAATCGAACGGATTCGACATGAACAATCCACAAAATTTGTAGAAAGCCCTAATTTTCTGATGCAACCCGAACAAATCAAAACCCGGTTTCCTGGTCGGACCGGATCGCCAGGTGGTCCATCCCGACCAAAGACCATTATTTAACGAAGAAGTCTTTAGATTTGGTGACGAAAACAGTAACATGTCGGAGTAGTATATATTTATTCGATTGTTATACTTTTTTAAGTATATTCAAGTCTTGTTTGATCTACATAACACTTTTAATGATACGAACTGATAGAATTTTGTTTTATTTCGTCGGTGTGCGAGAGAACTTTTGTGTTGTATGAAAAAAATAATTGTATTGATAGATTAACCGAGTGTTTAAAATATACTTATCGTATGTTTATATCTAACTTAAACGATTATTTAAATTTGATTATTCAAACGTGAAGATTTGATTACTCAGGTGTTCAGTATATCTGAGAAATCATTTAGTTGATGATTTGGCTAAAATCACTAAAATAATATACCGTCGGACGTTTAAACTATCGATTAAATCATCGGAACGTCCGATTTTAGAGCACGTGTGTAATGAAAAAACATAAACAACAAAAATCACTTCTAATCTAAGGAAAAAAAACAAGAAAAAACCACATGTGGCGTGTCTTTCTCATGCAGTGGTTGTTTATAGATCAAAACGTTTTAGTAAAAGATAGCCAGCCAAAACAAAAATCAACATCATCGACTTAGAGTTCAGGCGATCATAGAATTAAGTAAGTCGTTTTTGAGCAAAAAATCATTTTAACGCGAAGATTTACGAACATAAATCCAATCTAACTTTATTTTTCTCATCAAAATCAGCTAAAAACGAGCATAACTAAACAAACATGATCTATTCAAGATTTTTGACAAAAAAAAAAAGAAATGATCGATTCAAGATAAGCCTAAAATAAGAAGAAAGAAGAATATGGAGATATATACCTTGTAAGGATCCATGGTGATGAAAGAAAGTTGACGATCCCCAAATAATGCTTTTGAGGTTTTGGTTTAGTGAGAGTGTTGAGATCCTCTATGAAAGTATATATAGTGAAACTGCGTGTGTTATGCACAATAATGGCTGCCCATTGTGGAGGGGTAATTTTGTCCTTTTGGAGATCAATTTATCGATACAGTAAAAATGGGCCATTGTGTTTACTTTTCCTTGGTGATAAAACAATAATGCCCCCCAGCCCCCACTTAGATATTTTTTTTTTCCGTTTTTTTGGCGTCAACCTAAAAATTATTTTCGTTCGGTGACTAAATTATAATTGCTGACCCCGACAAGTCAGCATTGCTCGTTGTTGTCCGGTGCTTCTGAAGAGAGTAAAAAGATACAATATCTTTTGAAAAACAATATTTGTGACTGATAACAAAATGAAAAACACCAAATCTAAAAAAAAGCTGTAATGTAATGGATGTCAAAAAATAAAAAAATGATCTAAAAGTATATTCTATAACTAGTTTTCTCTTAAAGAACCCAAACTCCCGTTCGGTTTCCAAGTTGTTTATTTCCTGATTTGAATCTTATTACTATCAGTTCATCTATAGAAAAGTCTCCTGATATACATGTTTGATCTTATCGTATAGAAACTCGTGTCAGACACAAGTTGGAAGTTGGAACTGTAGATCTGAGGTTTCTTTGTTATCATTAATGTTTTCATAAGTATATACTGTAGTTTTTTACCCAAAATACAAAAAGTATATAATTTCCAAATTTGTCAACATGTATAAACAAGTTAACAGCAAAGGCTATCTATAAATTACAAACATGCGTCAAACATGAAATTCATTATAAGATCGAAGGATAGAAGACAGTTTTGGAGAGTTGAACAACAAATTAGTTCTATTCAAAATATGTGGAATTAGTTAACTTAAACCGGGTGATATTATTTTAGTCTTATCCGATCCGATTTGAGTTTGCGTATTGCTTTTGAATAATCTAATATTTTATAAAACTATTCGATGAATTATTAATAGATGATCATGTATCTATAAATCATGGGTTGAAAATTCAAAAAAAACAATTATTTATAAAAATACGAAAAAGCTGAATTGACATTATTGAGTGGGTATGGTGGGGGGTCGATGTTGTGGCGAGCATATGGCGATAATTAACACGTTACTTCGATGATGAACTGATCCACATTTTTGATTGAGGGGATTACTTCGGGTCCCTTTTTAGTGTAAACAAGTTGCTCTTGTTACTTAGTTTGATATTATTTACAACTAGAGCTAGGTACAACAATCAACAGTAACATACTATTCTCAGAAAGTTGCAATCATTAGAAGACAATCTTCATCTATCCCCGCCTAACAAAATTCTTTATTTTTATATATTTCATTAAAGGACATATTACGCAGTTGCTCCTCCATAAACATTAATTAATATTGTAGTAGCTCTGTTACAAAAACAATAATCCAATAAGCTATAAGAGATAAAAGTGGAGTAGGGAGGGACTCAGTTATAAATTTAGAGTTATTAGGACTTTTAATCCTCTTCATCATGCCGCATATTAAGTGCAATGACTAATATAACTAACATGCAGATATTTTGTGTTATTTTGTATCCACATCACGTGGACCACATTGGTCATATGCAAATGTGGTGTTACTAATACTATCACTGGGTAAAACGTGTTGTTTCAAAGTTGGATCCAGGGTTTCAGTTTAACTATGTGTTTTATAAGAGAGAATTTCAAATCATAGAATATATCTTCGTGTTATCAAATGTGAGATAATTACAGATTAGAGGATAGATATGTTATTCAAATATTAATCCTACACTTGAAATGATCATGAACCCAAACCTGATAATCTAGAATTTACCACCCCTCCCCCCAAAAAAGAAATAGCTATCTAAAACATATCATAGTCCCCTTATCAGATAAAGCTGAAGAATTCTTCTTACCACAGTCAAGTCTCTTCGTTTGGTGACGACAAAAGTAAAGAAAAAATGCCAGAAGCCTAGAGAAAGTAGTACGTACGTAGCCTAGCTAAATTGTACTATGTATATAATTAAATTTATAGAGTTGTGTATACGATTCTCGCAAGTTTCGTCATGGTGTAAACTCAAACTCAAACTTTCATTGATGGTGTAAACTGTTTTTTATCCTTTTTTTGGCATGGGATCATGTATTTGGTTATGCTTAATTGTGTAACTCAAACTTTCATTGTGAAATGAATATTAATTTACATTCTTATCAAAAAAAAAAAAAGTTTCGTCATGGTGCATGCGAACAAAAGTTAAATTGTCAATTGTTTTGTAGCTAATTAAGAGTGAGTGGTATTTACCAATCGGTAATATATAGTTCATTTGGTTTCAAAAAAAATTTGGAGAGGAACTTTGAGTTCTTGTTCCCATCTCTATTTGAGAAATGGTTATATTATCAAATATTGGTCGTGAACAAAAATAAATCATGGATCAAAGAATGAAAACTCATAATCTCTTCGTAAAAAGATAAATTAAGAGTGATGTTTATAATATAATTTTTACTAGTTTAGATACCGGGAATCCAACACATATGATAGTAAAATTGTCTACTTAAAAAAAAAAAAAATTGTCTAGTTGTCATCAGTCTTATGCATAAATAATAAGATTGATGTAGTGATTTGTTTCGGATTTTTCCTTAGAGAAATGTGAATGTTGCATTTTGTCACCAACTATATGAGTGCATGATACCATGGTCTGGCATAGGGGCGGACGTAGATGTATCACTACTCATGCACGTGTCCCATACAAAATTTAATAATTTTAAAGTTTCTTATGTAATTTGTAGTGGTGAATGCTGATGAAACAATTGGTTTGATGTATCCCCCATGTTTTCTACTGATTTTTATAGCAAATTGGTTATTACTCTCTATTTTCACTATTTTCAAATAATAATATTTTTTATATTAGTATTTTTTTCCCTCTTAACTCTTTTTGTTATTGTTTAAGATAATTATTTTAATACAACATACTATAACAAATGATTAATATATCAAAGAAATTTGTTTCATTTACATGTTTTTAATAAAGGTTCATATAAAACTTTATATTAAGAATTTATGTATTAAATATATTGTGCTTCATGTTAATTATGTTTCTAAATCCTCTCTTGATATGGCATGTATTTACTCAGTAATAACGTATACTAGATTTGAACCCGCGGTACACCGCGGGGTTATAATTATTTTTTAAAAAATCTAAATATAATTATTTTTGTTTATTAATAGAGAGTATACTATAATATTTCGACCTATTTTATAAATGTACCATCCATATGTCTATATTAATAGTTTTGAGTATATTAATTGTGTTTTAGGTTTAAATGGTATATCTATATATACACAAACGACATTTGGCTTTTTTCTTCTTCTTACCTCAGTTTAGGAGAAAGATTTTTCTTGCGGTACACCGCGGAGCTATTATTTTTTTTAAAAAAAATTTCCTTCCTTAAACTTCCAAATTTAGATTTTACCCGCGGTACACCGCGGGTCGATTTTTTTATAACTAAAAAATTATTTTGCAAAATTTTAAGTTGTATTTGTTTTGTTAATATTGTTTATTTTGTTTAGTGTTTCTGATTTTATAATTAAATTTTGATTTTTAATTCTAGGATTTCATCCATAGTATATTGTTTAATATTAATATTGATCTAAACCCGTTGCACCATATAACCCCGTCCCGTAAAATTAAACATCATTTGTTATTTTTTTGAATAATATTTTTATCCACTACGGGTCGCAGGTTCATGCGGATAAGCCCGTAGAGAGTTGCGGGTTTGCGGGTCGACCCGCCAAAAGAGAAGCTATCTTTTGAAACCCTTTGTTTTGTTTAGAGTTTTAAGAAAATATTCCTAAAAAATAATTTTCATTATATAAAAAAAAAAAAAGTAGAAGAAATTGTAGTATCAACATTCCCGATTTTTACATCACTCGTTACAATTATTATTTTTTTTTTTGTAGATAAAATCAGAAGTTAACTAAGTCGAGATTTTTAAAAAGATTGAGTAGAGATTTTTGGTAAATTGTTGAGAACATATTTGATTTCAAAATCTTTACTTAAATAAAATAAATTTAAATAATTAATGCTAATGGCATGTCATTGTAAATACTTCTCAATTTCAGGATTTATTTGCTAATTGTGATCCAAAAATGTATATATAGATGTGAGTAATAACTAAACAGCATAGTAACACGCAACATTTTAGAATTTAGTTATTTTAGTAAAGAATAATGATGTATCGGTACGTCAATTTAAAACACTGTAAAAATTTTATTTATACATTTTAAAACTAAAAAGTAAATAGATAATGAACGTTGACAATGATGTTTGTACTAAAACTCTTAGATAATAAACGAGGGCAACTGGGAACCACTTGGAGGCTACCACGTCCAAATCTTACCCTTGTTTAGTTACTTTTTGGTGTTAACCCAACCAATGAAAATTGGTTTTGGTGATTCAACAAGACAAAAAACGGGATTACACCTTATCCTTTCTTTTCTTTTTCGTTTTGTTCTTTGGATATCGAATTTTGTCAATGGAGTTGAAAAATCAAAGAGAAAAGACAAAGATTTCTGGCAGTCGAATCTTATGGTACCCCGTTTTCTACTCAGATGGGGACCTGACTAAAATTTAATCTACTACTATATATGATAGCGTTAAGTTCATAATAATTTAAAATATATAAGTATGTTAGTATATTATTCTACCTATGACAATTGGGCATGAACTAGCGTAGTGCCCAATCTCAAAACATAATGTACATCGGATCATCGGATTCCCGTATGGGCGGTAGAAACGACACCACCTCGGATAATGACCCGTCTCACCGCATGTATAGTAATACGGCTTCCACTGTGCTGGTGTTGGAGTCACAAGCGCCTCCGTATCAGTCCTCCGGGTCTCTCCCCGTCTGATAGGATCATTTTCCTGTAAATTATTCTATGAATCTCATGATACTAATAATGGTTTAATTTAACAAATTTCTTAGTGATGTTTTTGATTTTTATTTTATTTTTTGTAGTTTGTTTAAAATCTCAAAATATATATAACTTCGGTCAGACCGACTCACTCATGAAATTAGTCGGACGGATTTAAATTTGTTGTGGTATGACCTCCATTTTTTATGCTGACCTAGATGCTCTAAAGTTATAACCAACTAACAACTTTATGAGGCAGAGTTCAAAATCATATGATATTGAATTTGAATGTACATAACAGTGGGTATAAAGTTTTGTTTTGTTTCTTTACTACAGACTAGATATTAACCCGCGGTACACCGCGGGTCTATAATTTTATTAAATAATAATAAAATTAATTTTTTTTTAAGATGATCTATAGATATATGCTATTATTTTGTTTGATTTAAATGTATGGTACACACGATATTTTATAACTAAAGATTTAAAATTTGAAGTTTTATTTGTTTTGTTAATATTATTTGTTTAGTTTTGTTTAGTGTTTAAGATTGTATAGTTATATTTTGATTGTTAATTATAGGATTTCACCTGTATTAATATCGACCCCAAATCCGTCCGACCATATAACTCTGTCCCGTGAAATCTACATCATTTTGTCATTTTCCAATAAAATTCAAATATTTCTAATATTCGAAACTTCATTTAATATCGACCCAAAATTCATAATAGTATTTTGATTGTTATATCTAGGATTTCACCCGTAATATACCGTCCCGTATTAATATCTTTTGTAAATATTTATAATGTTTAAATTTCTTATAAATTATTATAAAATTCAACTATTTAATATTTGAAACTTTATAAAATTCCTAATATTATAAATATTTAAAACGTTTTATAAAAATAAACTTTTTAAATGTTTAAATAATTATAATATTTTACTTTTAATAAAGTTTAAATGTTTATAATAATTTGAAACTATTTAAAAGTTTCAATAAAAAATATTAGAAAACATTAAACATGAAATACATTGGATAAGAAAATAAAATATATATGATGTGATTGTTAACCATATAAAACATGTAATTGTTGTAAAAGGTTTTAAAAGATTAGAAAAATTACACTTACCAACCAAAACTCGGATCCACAGGTTTTAGTAAAAGTATATATCATAAAAACAATTAAAATACATAACATTAGAATAATGAAAATTAAGAATAAGAACTTTATTTTATTAACAAATTCATTTCCTTTTTACGTTAAAGAAAATGATTTTAATAGAATGGACTTGTTATGTTAGCCTATAAAAGAAAATCATTTACAAACATTATGAGGAAACATGAAATTATGAAAATGTAAAAAAATACTGGACATTAAAAAAAATTTGTATCTGAAGATAAGAAGAAGGACTAACTAACCTTTTAATGCATACCTTATTTGATAGTTTCTTTGGAAACGGAGTTGATGATGTCCATAATTTCCAAAGATCTTAAAATCGAAAGCTGCAACATAAGAAAAGTAGGTGACAATTAATTTTTTAAAAGAAAACAAACGTGAAATATAAAATGTACTAAGAACATTGTTTAAAAGAAGCTATATAAATCTCTATTACGAAAACGTTTAGTATTGTGGATCAATGGTTGAAAAGATCTTTTTTATATAGATGAATGAAAAGTACTCGAGAAGTTTAGGTTTGATCTAAAAATTAAAACAATTTTGCAAATATTTGAAAATTAAATATTTGATTCCTAATATATTTGATTTTGTATTATCAACTGAATAACGTCTATATGCATGGTGGGATTTATGAATGAGGAAAGCTAATTAAAGATATTTCCATTTGTTTTAGAAAGTTTGTTGAATAATATCTAAACGAAACAAAAAAAAATCTTTTAAAGATATTTTATGAGAAATAATATATTCGCCAATTTGGGTTGGGGATCAAGTATATGAAAATCTCGTAAATATTATATGTTATATTTATTACATATACTAATTTTCACATTGTAGTTATTTAAATCAAAGAATTTAATGAGTTAATTATGGAATACAAAATATTTATGTAAATCAAAAAGTTTAAAGAACCAATAGCGCTGGAATTGATTTTTTTGCTATAACGATTACTAAAACATTTAAGTAAATAAAGATATTTCGTTATGATTTTTCAGCATATTCGAATTGTTGATTATTTCGAAATTTAAGGATGTTTAAGAAATCATGATTGATTTCCGATTTCATAAATTTTGATTAGAATTAAAAATAAAAGATTTAGTATTTAGATAAAGAATATACTATAATAAGGATTATTAGTACTCGAATATATTAGGAATATTCGTATTGTTAGTTTATTTAATTCAAAAATTATAATTTGCGGATTTAAAGGAAGATCTTCTCGAGATTTTAGGCATATAATCGAGATTTTAGTAACAAACTGTGATCACATTAAATTTTCGAAAGATTTGTGTCGAAATTGTTAGAAACAAATTAGGATAGATAATGTTTGGTTAGTATCTTTTTAATATTTTCAAATCTTTAGAATTAAACTCATTGACATTATATTGTTGAATTTATTTTTTAAAAATGACGTAATATTAAATAAAAAAATAAATAACTAACTATTTTCATTTGATGGTGTAGACAAATTATTATTACTATTTATGTAATTTAATTACAAATAACAAATATTAATTTTTATAACAAAACAAATTATTTTCGTAATAACAATTTTTCCCCAAATCAATCTTTTACAAAATATTTATTTTAATCACATATTCTTTCTATATAGAAATAAATAGTTAAATAATTATGGTTAGAAGTAGTTAAGGTAAATAACAAATATGGTTAGTTTAGATATATTATATATATTTCTAATTTAGGTGTTAATTAAGAATTAATGTCGTTTTTATTACAAACTTCCTTAAATTTCTTATTCTAGATCCGAATAGAGTTAAACCCGGGTAAAACCCGGATCCAAAAGACTTTTTGCAAAAATCCCCTGTAAAAATGTATATGTAGATTTAAAATATATCAATTAAATTCTAATCATTTAATGCAAATCTACTAAACATCTATACTAGTATAATCGCAGCACTTTTTGTGACGGGTGGGTAAAAAACTTTCGGGTATATCAGATATCCGACCCATTTTAAAAATTTCTTCACAAAAAATTTGTTGGGTCAGGTTATATTTAACCCAACTCATACACCGAATATTCCATATTTAATAATTTAGATTTTTAGAAGATTTGATTAAGATTTATAATTATGATTCTCCTATCATCTTTGTTTCATTTGTTTTTAACTGTTTTGAATAATCATATAATACATAAAGTAGAAAAAAAAAATCATTTTTTTTCTGCATATACTGTGATTCGAAATTTTAAAAACGGACATATAATATCCAATTGACGAAAATGTGTGTTCAACGTTCTACATCGATTAAAATATTTAGACAATGATTCAGAATCATATCATAAATAAGAACATTAATAAAATAAATGAGTTTTTTGGCGGGATGGGTTTGGCGGGACGGGTTTTTGTATCAGCAATAATAAAAAGATTAAAATATCATTAATCCGCCGCTTCAATACGGATTTAATCCTTATTTTTTTTAATACAAATCACATGACGGGTTAAGAAATTACGGAACGAGTTATATTTCGGAAATGATTTATATGGCGGACGAATTTGAATCAATATTTATAAACCGCTTTAATACGGGTTAAATCCTCAGTTTATTAATAATTATCTCGTGGACTCGTGGTATACCGTTACTTAATAACAATTGTAAACTATAATATAAATAAATATGTTATAAGGAGATACAATTTACAAAATATTTTTATACTAACTTTAAAATTAAATCATCCCACGGTGTACCGCGGGTTAAAATCTAGTTGTTTGTTACAAAAGTCCAGTACATTTTTGTGCCGCAAGCCTAATGGGCTTTAGTTTGATGGTATGTATTGGGCCGACCTGTTAACAGGCTTCTGCATTAGAAAAAGAAAAGAAAAAAAAAAAAAAACAGAAAGCCGAAAATGGAAAAGGTTATCTGCAATTGAAAATTTGAAAGTTAATTCTAAAAGATGATGACACAGTTCTTATTTCTCCCATTCCTCCGATCAGATCCAATGTCTGCCGATTTAAGCCCCATTTCGCTCTCTCACCAGCTTCTTCGTCTCTCCGATTACGATTCCTCTGAGTCTCAGGTTTGTTTTTCTCAAAATCAAGTTTGCTTTGTACTGTTTGTCGATGCATGATTGGAAATTTTCATTCTAATTCGTCGTGAATCGCTTCTATCAGTAGAGATGGTTGGAAATCTATTTTGATTTATTCGTCGTCATGATTCAGTAAATTTTGGTTTGAAATCGATTTTTGCTTCGGATAAAATGATTGGAATTTTGCTTTCTTCGTCGTTTTCTCTCAACAGATTTGGTTTCGAATCGATTTTGAATCTGATTCTGATATTCGTAATTGCATCGCTAGAATGACCTGACCTCCCTTTTGTTCTGTTTTCCATCCATTGGATGATGATTCTAGATCGCGTACGGCTTAAACAAGCCTTGGCCATCTCTTAAAACATGGATCTCTCTTGATATCATTTTAGGAGGAAGCTGATTACCAGTTTACAGTCACAGCATATAACTGGGCTATAGCGTATCTTGTGAGTATGTCTATTGATCTTGTCTACATGACTACATCAAGCACGTGGTTACGAAAATCGGGTTAAACATTGAGGCTTATTCGTTGCAGTGAATAGCACGACCGGTGATTCCCACTTTGAGTTGCTCATAATGGGAGAGTTACACAAACTAAGGCATGACATAAGTGATAAGCCTGATTGCTACAGTTTAGCAGTGTTTTTGCCATCTCTTGCTTACCGTTCTTGGCATTGTGAACAAACTGTTAACATTTGTGATCAAGTTGGTTATATGGGACAAACATTCAACCTTCATTGGAACTTTAGGACTCTTAATCTGTGAAAGAAATCGTAGGTACAAGACGAGAAACAAAATAAACTGCGAGAGAACGAGGAAGTTCAGAAACTATGATCATATACATACACACGAAGAGCAACCTAAAAGAGTAAAAGATATACATGTCATATTGGTTTAATGTTTCTATATCAATGGAAACAAAATGTTATTGTTGTGGTTCTACATAGAAACCCAATGTTCACACTTCTACAAAAATGGCTTGATTGATTTAGATGTGATGGATGGTAATAGTGTATAGACTATAGTTGTCGAAGATGCAGTATATCAATGCCATAATTATGTAAACAACTGTAATATCTTTTTTCCCATAAAAAATGTAGTATGATATTCGAATGATACACATGAAGATCTAAACTTTGTGTGAGATTTCTTGCTTGAAAAAGAAAGTCATTTAACTTGAGATTAATATAAAACGACTCATCGTCATTTGGTCAAAGGAGACGTATTTCAATCTTTTAAATAGAAGTATTTTTTTTTTGTTTTTATAGAAATGTATATTAACAGTATAATTTTCAAAAAAAAAAATTAGTTGTCTTCCCCAAAATAGAAAAAAAGAAAGAAAAAACCCAAAGAATTTGAATAAGTTACACACATGGAGGAAAAACAATGATATCCGTTGAGTAGAAGGCAACTTTCGATTAGGAACACGTGGCTTTAATCCAACGGCTGAGATGAACTAGCCGTTAATTTTAAAGAAAAATAAAAATTTACAGACAATATATCGAGACACAGGCTAGTTTGCCACTGAACCGGAAATGTTAATCACGACTGCCATTTTAGAGTCTCAATGCCACCTCTCAATAGGATAATACTCCTTTACCCTTAATGAATTGAAAAAGAAAGAAAAAATAAAAAATAATTGAAATCGAGAAATGAATTCTCGATCCAATCTCGAATCTGTGTCTTCCCTTCCCCCGACATTGTTGAAGATTCTCCCCGGAGCTGAGAGCTCGAGAGAGTGACTGACATTTCCGGCGCAACAGCTTTACTTATCTCCGCCATTGTTGGATCGAAAGATCGAGAGGTCGACAGATTTGCAGCTCGTCTACTCCCGAAACGCTCCTCCTCTGTTTTGGTTAAGTCATCCATTTCGCCGGCTGTCGCCTCCTCCGTCGCAGCGTCTTCTTTCTTCCCCTCCATTCTTGGATCTCGATTGAAGCAAGTAAGTTCTTAGAAGAGTATTTTGATTTGCAATGGTAGAGTTTGGCAATGGTAGGTGTAATGTAGAAATCTCTAGATAGTAGGATTTATGAGTTCAATCGTGTTGAATCTGAGGGAAATTAGAATGTAGCTCCTCCTTTGTATCGTTTGTTGCAGAAGGTAATGGTACAACTGAAATTGAATAATACAACTGGTACATATATGATAGTGTAGTTCGACTGGTACAATTGGTATACCTGTTACCAGTGTTCAAGAAAGCGCTAGGCGCTAAGCGGGCGGTGACCCAGTGCCTAGCGCCTAGAACGTCTAATCGGGGCCTAGGCGATTTTTTAGGCGGTTTAGACGTTTATAACATAAAATATTATAAATATGATATTATATATAAAAGTTATATAAAATGTCTATATAAAACTAAAAATTATGAAATTATAAACAAAACTAGATAAAACATTTATTTATATTTATATTAAACAATATATAAATATGTATAACTATATATATAAATAAAACTCTAATTAAAATTGAAAAAAATACATTAAACAAGATCTATGTAACTTTAGGCGGTCAAGACGGTTATCTAGGCGTCGCATGAGAGCCTAGCGCCTAGTCGGGGCCTAGGCGACCGCCTAGACCGCTTTTTAGAACACTGCCTGTTACAAGTGCTGTATCGAAATTAGTGATTTATTTTGTTCTATCTGCAGTGCGATGAAGAAGAAGATCCAGACAAACATATATTTTGACTATGGAGGGTACTATTCAGAAGAGCATGAGTGGAATTGCAACAATTCACTATATGCTATAATGTTTAAGACAACATCTTTGGAGAGAATAACATATCCAGTGTTGGTAGATAAGATCTGTAAGAAGATTGCTATAGACGGAGCGAGAAGGAAGATGAAATTGAGTTACATGATATGTAAAGGAAGGAGAGAGTCTTATATTTTAGATGATGAGGATGTTTGTATATTCTTAACATCATTGGATAAAGAGGGATTTAGACCAATTTTGCATGTGGAGTTATGCAATCTTGAAAGTAATCAGATGGTAGAGCTAGTACCAAGAGTAGAGAGAAGAAGTTCATGCGGTTTGAATTATGGGGAAGTGGCTGCCAATGATGTAAGGACTGATGATGTAAGGACTGATGATGTAAATAATCAAGGAAACTTGAGTACTTTTAGATGGGGGGAAGGATCAGAACAAGAGAAAGAGCCTGCTATAGGTAATGAACCGATTATTGAATAGCTCATGATAGAGAATGGTGTAAATGAAGATTGTGAGAATGATGTTAGGCATGAATATGTTGAGCTTTCACGGCCTGTACAACCAAGTGAGGAAACAGTTAAAGAATGGGAAGATGGTATGGTTTTGGAAAAAGATCAAGAATTTCCTTCTAAGGAGGCTGTATGGGATTTGGTTAATAGAGCTGCAAAGGCCGAGTTGTTTGGTGTGAGATGTGTGAAGTCGGACCCGGTGCGACTTATGATTGAATGCAGTCAAGCTTCCATGGGTTGTGAATGGTATTTAAGAGTTGCTAGAATAAAGAAATCAGATTTTTGGAGTGTAAGAGTTCACAAAAACATGCATACATGCTCTAGGTGTGAGGAGAGTACTAGATATTTTAAACAAAAAGGCACACCACGATTAGTAGCAAGTGTTTTGCATGAGGACTTCCGTGGTCAATTGAAAACACCGGATCCTAAAACCATCATGACTCTTGTTAAAGGAAGACTTGGTTTGGATTGTTCATACTCCACCGCCTTGAGAGGGAAAAAACAACATGTTAGTGATATGCGTGGGAACCCTGAAGTTTGCTACACGATGTTGTATGCTTATCTCCACATGTTGAGAGAGGTGAATCCTGGGACAGTAACGGAAGTGGAATTGGATGCAGAAGAGAGGTTCAAGTACTTATTTATCGCTTTAGGAGCAAGCATTGAAGGGTTTAAGGCAATGAGGAAAGTGTTAGTGATTGATGCAACTTTTCTGAAAACTGTATATGGTGGGATGTTAGTTATTGCAACAGCTCAGGATCCTAATCGTCACCATTACCCCATTGCGTTTGGTGTAATTGATAGTGAGAATCATGCTAGTTGGAATTGGTTTTTTAGAATGTTGAGAAAGGTAGTACCGGATGAAGATGGTTTGGTTTTCATAAGCGATAGACATCAAAGCATCATCAAGGGAGTGATGGACGTGTTTCCAAACGCATCACATGGTCATTGTATATGGCATTTGTCCCAAAACCTTAGGCCAAAGTTGACTGGGGACAAGGACGTAGGTGTTGATAAATTCAAGGAATGCGCTCATGTATATACTAAGACCGAGTTCAACATTCAGTATGGTGATTTTAGGAGAAGGTATCCTAGAGCTGCTGAATATCTAGATAATTCTATTGGGGTTGAACAATGGGCTAGGAGTCATGCTGAGGGAGACAAGTACAACATAGATACTAGCAACTCCGCAGAGTCAATGAATGCTGTGTTTAAGGAAGTAAGGAAGTACCATCTATTACCGATGATTGATGCGATATTGGAGAAGTTTTCCGAATGGTTCAACAAACATCGAAAAGATTCTGCCAATGCATCGAACACGACGCAGGTGGTGCCTGTTGTGGAGAATATATTACATATCCGATGTCCTATAGCTGCGAAGTTGACGGTCACTGAGCTTAACAGCTACCGACGCGAATATAGCGTAATTGGAGTTGATGGTTTAACATATTTGGTGGACTTGGATATGAAATCTTGTACTTGTAGGTGTTTTGATATAGACAAGTACCCTTGCATCCATGGTATAGCCGCAGCCATTAAGCATTGTCGGAATGAATGGAGAACCACGGAAGTAAGCATATATGGTCTTTGTTCGAAATATTACTTGATCGAGACGTGGGCATTGGCATATTACAAAACGATTTACGTTGTGCCGCATGAGTCTCAATGGACTTTCCCAGCTGACTACGAGGAGAAGATCGCAAAACCGCCGGATTACAAACCAAAGAAAGGTAGAAATCAAGAAACCCGGTTTCCATCCACCGGGGAAAAGCGACGAAAGAGGACCCAAAACAAGGCACAGCCTGGCATTAACTTGGAGAGTTGGTTGCAGCCCCCTCCCAATGATGAGAATGGTTAACTTGAGTTTCTGTGTTTTACTTGTATTTCTCGCATGTGCATTAACAATTCAGCTGGTTCAACTGGGTTCAACTAAGAACATGTCTGTGTCTCGTTTGTGCATTAACAATTCAGCTGGTTCAACTGAGTTAAGCTAAGAACATGTCTGTTTGTTTTAAGTTGTATTTCTATTCGTTTATATACTGAGTTCAACTATTACAAGTATGCGTCCATAAGTTTAGCTTTAACTATTCAACTGGTTCAACTTGTACAGCTACGATAGTATTATAAAACAACATATTTTAAAAAAAAAAGAAATAAAATAATAATTCTATAATATAATCATAATAGAATTAACTTTTAAAGAAAATTTAAACATTTGAATACAACTTTTAAAAAAATCTATGGAAAATGATGTTCTCACACAAACAACCCCTTATAGTATAAGGGATACTTGCTATAAGATAACCTAAATCATAGTGAAAGAAGTTGGACAAATGATTTGGTAAATATAATATTATGTAACCCTTGGATATGCCAAATAATTAAGAATAATCATTTGTCCAACTTATAATTAGTTATTTAAATACTAGTCCAACTGAAAACAAGAAAAAGTGTTAAAAGTCCAACTATGTTGCTCCTAGTACAACTGGACAACTATGAGTATATTCAGTCATGGGTCCCTCATATTTAATACTATTAAACAAGTACAGCCGCCAAAGTACAACTGTTTATTTTAAAAAGTATTTTTTGTTTATTTTAAAAAGTATTTTTTGTTTTTAGATATTCTTTTAAAAGGAAAAGGAAGATAGATCGATAGATCTAGGGTTTTATTATAAGCTCTGTCTCCCTCTCTTACCTAGTTTCTCTCTCTCTCATTTGCGAAACCCAAAAAAGTAGAGAAGTAAAATTCCGGCGAGCGAGAGCGGAGATCCCGACGGCGAGAGGAGAGATTTCGGCGAACGACTCCTATCTCTCAAGGTTGGTGCTTTCTAATTCCTAGATCTAGGGTTTGGGTTTGTCGATTCGGATTTGGATCTAGGGTTTTCTTATTTGGGGTTCTCCGTTTTTGATTGGGTTTGGGTTTGTAGATTCGGATTTGGATCTACGGTTTTCTTATTTGGGGTTCTCCGTTTTTGATTTGTATATCCTAGATTCGGATTTATATCTATGGTTTTTAAATTTCTGATTCTTCTTGAGGAGTTGCAGTGAGAATGCCAATCAGTTATACTCAAAGCTCCGAATCGGAGCCGAGTGAGGATATGAGTTGGGCAAGAGCTGACGGTAATTGGGGTATTCCGAGATATTGTTTCTGTGGAACCTACGTTAAGCTTGTTGTGTGTACCACTGGCAATAATCAAGGAAGAAAGGAATACAAATGTCCAAATTTTGAGGTATGATGAATTTTTTTGTATTGTTGATGATGAATTCGTTTTTCTTATGATTGATGAATGATGCTTATGCTTAGGATGGTGGAGAACACCTTCAAAAGTGGTGGGATGATGCGGTTAATGAGGAGTTTACTGTCGTCCATAACAAATTTGAAACCCAGAAAGAATCAATCCACCACGCTTACCAAAATCCTATGTTGGAGTCCCTTCGCGAGTCTGTTCGAATTATGCGTGCTCAAGTCGATGATCTTCAGAAGCGTTTGGAGGAGAAAGAAACTGAGATTGGTAGGCTGAAGGAGTTGCTATCTAAGTGGTAGTAATAACCACTTATGTATTTATGTATTCCTCTAAGAAATCTTTGTAGACTTCTTATGTTTGTAATAACCCTATGTAGACTAATCTCCTTTATTTCCTATTAGTTTCTTAAGTTTGAACTAGTAACCTAGTTTTATTTCTAAATGTTTAACAAGTATTTATGCCTTTGCTTTGACATAGTTGTACCACAAAGTTGTACCGTCTTGACCAGTTGTACCGTCTAGTTGTAAATGTCAAATATTTGACCTAGTTTTATTTCTAAAAGTTGTACCACAAGTATTTGACCTAGTTTTATTTCTAAATGTTTAACATGTATTTGACCAATTTTATTTCAAAAGTTGCCTTTGCTTTGACATAGTTGTACCACGAAGTTGTACCGACTTGACCAGTTGTACTGCCTTCACCAGTTGTACCGACTGAACACAGTTGTACCCAAAAGTAGGAAATCTAAAATTAACCAAAATAACAAGTACTAACTCCAGGTACAACCAAAATAACATCAACAATAGTTCCTACTTGTTCAAAACACAAATAATCATGTCCAAAAGATTTTTTAGTTTTTTCCTATACCACCAGCACACATCAACCATAGTTCTTACTTCTTTCTCCTTCTCTTCGGCTGCACTTCCACAAATGGTGTCTTAATATGTTGGGAAGCTGCCCTTGTTCGCTTTTGTCCGGTTGCTATTACAGGTCCACCCTCTTGCTGCAACATCCTCTTTGTCTTCTTGCCCTTCTTCTTCTCTTTTCCTTTCATCTCTTCCTCATTCTTTTTCTCCTCCTCATTCTTTTCCTCCTCCTCATCACCTTCATACAATGTACAAAGAAAACAGTTTATTAGTCCACTTTAAGAGTTCAATAAATAACCAAGAAACTTCTACACTCACCTTGTTCTGGAACAGTTGGAGAAATGGGATTATACAAAACCAATTCCATGGTTTGACTCATCTGCCCACCCTCAAAATCAGTTCTTGTCCCATATTGTGTTTCCAGAGGCGACCCATATGGCGGAAACACCGGACTATGATATCCCTGAGCTGCCACAGACACTTCAAGAGTCTTCACTCTAATCTCCATATCCCTAAACTTCTCCTCAATGGCATGAAAGCCATTGTTCACCACCTCTGTTAGTGAGGCAAGAGATGCAACAACTTTAGCAATATCAGAACTCTCTTTCTCAGGGACTTCTTGCTCAGGGGCTTGTTGCTCAGGGTCTTCATTCTCAAGAAACTTATTACCAATCTCTCGGGACGCCTGGTCCAGCTGGTACATTCCTTCCCACCATATCTTTTTCTTCTTTTCTACTAGACGCTCTCTCCAACTGTCAACAATGATATCAATCTGCCCTAGGCCATCATCAACATTATCTTCAATGATTCCAGCCAACAGAGATTTTTCATATTGGTCTGGTACCAATATGCTGTCAATATCCTGTGCATACACACACATACATTTAACTTAGACTCTTTGTCAAATACATGACACAAACCAAATAATCAAATGAAGACAGAAACTCTAACCTTGCTAGTCCCAAGCTCTTGATATATTTCTTCCAAAGGGATACCTTTCATGGCAGATTCTTTAAACTTGTGCTTGCACATCCTTGGACAGTCATTTGCTGCACGTACAGGTACTCTATATTTCAGTCCAAGATGTGGAATAGCCTCATAAGCCAGAATCTACAAAAAAACACACACAGTTAATATCATAAAACAATATATACAACTTCAAATACTCAGACATCAAAAACAAAGGATTACCTCCAAAGGTATAATGAATCCACTAAAGCTAGGTTGAGCTTTAGGTTTGACAGACCCATTCAAATTCTTCATCATATTCCGGATCCCTTTCATACATTCTGAGAATGAATACCTGCCCCATGGATATGTCTCACATGCATCCAAATCATCAACAATCCTTAAGAGAAAGGATTCTATGTTTCCATCACTTTTTGAGCTTGCTTTTAGTATCTTGCATAAGAAATACAAGACTACTAACTTCTTCTTATCAGCTCCTTTCCAACTCTTCTTTCCCTTCAACTTAGCTAATACATCAGATGCCTTTATCTTCTCAGTCCTTTTGAAGATTCTCTTCACAAACCTCAAATTCCCCATTTCCTCATGCTTCTCCGGGTATTCCTTGCAATTAAACCCAGTTAGCAACGCATGCTCTTTGATGGAATACCTAATAGGTACTCCATTAACCACAAACCAACACTCCCTCTCAAGATCTGTGTCAACTGTGCGCAGCATAAGCATCCACATGCCTTGAGTCATGTGGTTTGGCTCCCTAGGCATGTGGAATACATGCTTGAACTGAGAGTGACTTCTGAACCATATTGCCTCGTCTTTAAACTCTTTCTCTATCAAGTTCACTGTCTCAGTCACTTTACACCTAGTTCCTATTTTACACCCTTTGGTGTATTCTGAACTATCTAAGCACATCTTCTCTGGCGGAAGTGGCTGGGAATCATCTTCATCATCATCATTATCATAATCATCATCAGCTGTTATACCAGCAACGTCCTTACTAGCTTCAGCAACCTCCTCCTCTATACCATCTTTAGCAGCAGCCTCCTCCTCTATACCAACATCCTCTTCAGCCTCTATATCATCTTTACCAGTACCAACATCACCATGCTCATCCTCTTCACTAGCATTACCAGCAACATCATCCTCTTCCTCATATGTATCCTGCATATTCAAAACATAATCGTTGAGTTTAAGTTGTTGAACTACTTGTCTCAAAACACACAATTCAAACAAGTATATAATCGGGATAAGTTGAACTAGTTGTATCAAGACACATAAATTCAAACCTATATATTCTCCGCTTCAATTATACCAAGAACTAGCATCAAAATTATATATACTCATATTCAAAGACAACCTAATTCACTAGTTGAACTAGTTGTACCTTGAATACCATTAATCCATTCTCAAACTAATGTATATACCTGAGCAATTGTAGGTTCTATCAGACTCTCATTTGCAGGTTGACTATCGGAATCCTCGGTCTCTCCTTCTGTCGTTACTCTTTCCAACTCGACGGTTTCTTTTGCAGGTTGGCTCTCGGAAGCATCAATTGCTGCATCTTCTATCAGATCAATTTGCATCCCGACGGTTTCACTTCCAGGTTCAGCATCCCCTGGTTCTCTCTGCTCTCCGGTTTCTTCTGTAGGCTCGACCATGGTACTTGAATCCACTGGCTCTCTCGGACGCGCCGCCGTAGATTCATATTCACCTTCGGCGTTTCTAACACGAGCCATTCCAAAATTTCTCAGATTTTCAATGGCTTTGGAAAAGGGCGGTGCGATTCACTGCGAAACTCGACTGAGACGAAGAGAAGCGAGAAGAAATCGAAGAAATAGGAGAAAATATCGAAGATTTCGAAGGATTATCGGAATGAAATCGGAGAAGAAGTGAAATTGGAGAAGTTATGGTTTTTTCGAGAAAAAACGAAAAGGTTTCGTTTTTTTGGTTATCTCTCTCATGGGCTTGGTCGGATGGGCTTTCGATCGAAATAATCAGTTACTCTGTTGGGCTTGGATCGGATTAATCGAAACGGTTATAACGTTGGATATTTGCTTTGGTTTTTTCGTCTTTTCATAATTATGGATTTAAATCTCTTTAAATTTAATTCATCTGATAAAACAAAAAAAGAAGGGTGGCATTCCAGGTTTTTTTTTCTCCAAAAGTGGCTTTCCAGCCATTGATTCAATCTTTTTCTCCAAAAGGTACAAGACGAGAAACAAAATAAACTGCGAGAGAACGAGGAAGTTCAGAAACTATGATCATATACATACACACGAAGAGCAACCTAAAAGAGTAAAAGATATACATGTCATATTGGTTTAATGTTTCTATATCAATGGAAACAAAATGTTATTGTTGTGGTTCTACATAGAAACCCAATGTTCACACTTCTACAAAAATGGCTTGATTGATTTAGATGTGATGGATGGTAATAGTGTATAGACTATAGTTGTCGAAGATGCAGTATATCAATGCCATAATTATGTAAACAACTGTAATATCTTTTTTCCCATAAAAAATGTAGTATGATATTCGAATGATACACATGAAGATCTAAACTTTGTGTGAGATTTCTTGCTTGAAAAAGAAAGTCATTTAACTTGAGATTAATATAAAACGACTCATCGTCATTTGGTCAAAGGAGACGTATTTCAATCTTTTAAATAGAAGTATTTTTTTTTTGTTTTTATAGAAATGTATATTAACAGTATAATTTTCAAAAAAAAAAATTAGTTGTCTTCCCCAAAATAGAAAAAAAGAAAGAAAAAACCCAAAGAATTTGAATAAGTTACACACATGGAGGAAAAACAATGATATCCGTTGAGTAGAAGGCAACTTTCGATTAGGAACACGTGGCTTTAATCCAACGGCTGAGATGAACTAGCCGTTAATTTTAAAGAAAAATAAAAATTTACAGACAATATATCCGCTCTTCTTGTCTTCAAAATCTCTATTACTCTTTTTTTTTTCTTTCTTTGCCCTTATATAGAGAGAGAAGAAAGATAGAGAGAGAGAGAGAGTGAGGGATCTTCAATATCGAAGCCATTAGAGGGAAAGAGAGCGTGGTTGAATCTTTGGGTTTTACTAAAAGATCTCTCTTTCTCTCCTTTGTTTGATCAACTTGGATTCAACGGGGAAAAGACTATTAGGGTTTAGGAGATTCACTGGGTTTCTGAAGAATCTGTGATCAAGGGACAAGGGTTGACTTAATTTTGCGGTGGTTCTTTGAATTGACTGTAAAAAGGTGATATTTTTGAAGAACAAATTTGTGGGTTTTCGTTATCTGGGTATTTGGGATTTAGGTCTTGTTCTTGATTGGGACTTTTCGAGATTACTAAACCGGATCTGTAGGGTTTTGATTGTCAAGACTAGTTTTTTTTTTTTCAATTTCAATTTTAAAAAAACCCTGCTTTTAAGTTGGGGGATGTTTCAATTTTGAAATTTGATTTTTCAAGAGAGATTTAATGAAATAAATAACCCCCGCAGATAACGAAGAAGAAGAAAATGGTTAGATCAGATGAAAATAGCCTTGGATTAATCGGATCAATGAATCTCCAAGGTACCCTAAAATCGAAACGATTTTGTTATCAAAAATCAAAACTTCGTCTTTAATTTTTCCCCTAAATTGATTTCGAATTTACTTGGTGCAGGCGGAGGAGGAAAGATCAAGACGACGGCAACAAAAGGACCGACCAGAAGAGCACTAAGCACTATTAACAAGAACATCATTGAAGCGCCGTCTTACCCTTACGCTGTTAACAAAAGATCACTGTCTGAGTAAGTTTACTTTAAATCCTCAGATTCAAGATTAGTTTTTTTTTTCTCCCTTTGATTTGACTCTTAGGAACCCAATTTCTTTCTCTGATTATGCAGAAGGGATGGCATTTGTAATAAACCACCTGTGCATCGACCAGTTACTAGGTAAAGTATAGATCTTTACTCTTGTCTACTTTGAGTATCTCACATTGTCTGATTACTGAGATTTTTCTACTCTCTGTTGGTTCAGGAAGTTTGCTGCTCAGTTAGCAGATCAGAAGCCACAAATCCGTGAGGAGGTACCCTATTGTGACACTGTTCAGTGTGTGTTTCGTTTAGAGCAATGATGACATAGGAAACTAAGAAATTAGACTGGATTTAAATTTCTGATCTTTAACTCTTAGGAAACCAAGAAACCAGACTCGGTTTCAAGCGAAGAACCAGAGAGGATTATCATTGATGGGGATGATAGTGAGACAGAAGGAGGCGACTTTAATGAGCCAATGTTTGTTCAACACACTGAAGCAATGCTGGAGGAGATTGACCAGAAGGTATACATATTCACTAACCCCTTCTTTGTTTTTTTTGTGTGCAGAAGTGTTAATTGAGTTACTCATATTGTTTGTGTCTTTCAAAAGGAGAAGGAGATTGAAATGGAAGATGCAGACAAAGAAGAAGAGCCTGTGATCGATATTGATGCCTGTGATAAAAAGAATCCTTTGGCTGCGGTTGAATATATCCATGATATGCATACCTTCTACAAGAATTTTGAGGTTACTTTGTCTTGCTTTACATGAACTTTTGCTGTTTTGTTCTTTCTCTTCGAAAGGATTCTAGTTTCAAATCTTGTACTTATGTTTGATTCATTCTTATGATTCTGTAGAAACTTAGTTGTGTGCCTCCTAACTACATGGGCAATCAACAAGATCTTAATGAGAGGATGAGAGGAATCCTCATTGACTGGTTAATTGAGGTAAACAGATCCAGACAAAAGCTATTTAATGTCACTGTTGTTGTCTCAATGTGCCTGAAGATAAATTGACTGGATCATTTTATTTCGAGTAGGTGCACTACAAGTTTGAGCTGATGGAAGAAACTCTTTATCTCACAATCAATGTCATCGACAGATTCCTTGCGGTTCATCAAATCTTGAGGAAAAAGCTTCAGCTTGTTGGTGTTACTGCTTTGTTGCTTGCATGTAAGTATGAAGAAGTTTCAGTTCCAGTGGTAGATGATCTCATCTTGATCTCTGACAAAGCTTACACTAGAAGAGAAGTGCTAGATATGGTGAATACATAACTTTCTCTTGATCATTAATTACCATAGGATGATGCTTCAATGTTGAATTTACCTGTTTTTGGTTTCTATTGCAGGAGAAGCTAATGGCCAACACCTTGCAATTCAATTTCTCTCTACCAACTCCATATGTTTTCATGAAACGCTTTCTCAAAGCTGCCCAATCTGACAAAAAGGTACATATCTCCCTAAATAAATAAAAACTTGAATCTTTATGTTCGAACCATCAGGCCTAATATCTAAAATCTGTGTGGTATGCAATTGTGGTTTCAGCTTGAGGTTTTATCGTTCTTTATGATCGAGCTTTGCCTTGTGGAGTATGAGATGCTAGAGTATCTTCCATCTGAGCTTGCGGCCTCGGCAATCTACACTGCTCAGTGTACACTTAAGGGATTTGAAGAATGGAGCAAAACCTGTGAGTTTCACACAGGCTACAAGGAAGAACAGCTACTGTAAGAACATACATTGATGGTTTCGAATTTCTTTGAAAACCCCAGATGAGATTTTCGAATTCTGACAATGGTTTTTTTGTGTTTTATTCTAGGGAATGTGCGAGAAAGATGGTTGCTTTCCATCACAAGGCAGGAACAGGGAAGCTCACAGGAGTTCACAGGAAGTACAACACATCTAAGTTCTGTCATGCTGCAAGAACTGAACCAGCTGGGTTTCTGCTTTAATGGAGGAAAAAGACTATAATAAGAATCTAATATGACTTAACTCGAGTTTTTCTTTTGAAAAAGAGTGAGAGAGAGAGAGAGATAGAGCAAGTTGCCCAAATAGGAGATGTACAATTGTTGTTGGTTCGGTTCTTCTCTTTTTAAGGTCTTTAGATCTTTCTTCACTTGAGAGAGAATAAAAAGATGCAGTCAGTCTTTTGATATCATGTTTTCCTATATTCAAATTGTGAATCGATCCTAATAATTTCATGTATAGAATTGTTGTAACTCAGGAAAATCTATGACCCATTTTGGTTAATATCACTCAGGAACTGAACCTCTAAACTGAATCAAATCTATAAGTCGTTTTGGTACTCTGGAACTAACCTCTAGACTGTATCAAATATTCTACAAGTCATTTTGGTACATGGCACTTTTTTGGATTGTAATTTGGGAAAATAGCTTCAGTGAGTTGAACAAACATTGTAAAGGGGAGATTTAGTCAATGGTCATCTACTTCTAGTATTTCATTATCTTGTTCCTTCAATTAAACTTTGTTTTATGATATTCGTTATGATCTTAGTCTAAGACCTTTTTGAAAACAATGTGCTTTGTTTTACTCATCTACTGTCAGAAATGAAGAATGCGCAAAAAAGAAAAAAGATCATAACGAAAACTTGTCAATGATTTAAACATCTTGGTACCCCAAAATACAGAACTACTAGTGCATCTGGACATATCTCTCTTGTTCTCTCTTGTTTGGTTTTACAGCGTACCCTAAAGCATAGATAACAGAACCAAGAAAGGCGGCTTTCACCTGGATATCGCAGAAGGACTGTCTCAGAATCAAAGCTTACATGTTGAGCGTAAAATCAATCATCTCCTCACAGGTGGTACCGCTCCCCTTCCTCCAGTTCCACGCCCGGGCCCGGCAGCCGGCTTTAAGATAATATCACAAAGATTCAAGACTCCAACCATTAGTAATGGCAAAGAAGAAGAAACAAAGCATTAAAGGCTGGTAAGGATTTCAATATGCTTAATAAGTTCCATAAAACTTCCTAAAATTGCTTTTATGAGCACTAAATCATGAGAGAGAGAGAGAGAGAGAGAGAGAGAGAGAGTGAACTTACTTTCCCTCGCATTGCAGCTCTACCTCTGCCAACACCTAGTGATGAGCTCTTTCCCTACATTGATTAAGCAAATAAGGTATGATGTTTATAGAAGATATACATAGAGACTCTAATTCATTCTGCATCCAGGTTCAAAAAGCATATATACCTTGATTCTAGCATCTAAGCGCTTGAACATTGGAGCATGCTTGAGAATGTCTGGTATGACCATAAACCTGTCAAGATATATCCGCAAGTCAATTACTAATCAGTTAGGGTTACAAGAATGATCCTATGAATTACATAAACAAGGAAACAAGCACAAGTAAAAGAAGTGTTAGTTACAGCACCTGACTTTGCTGCCTCGAATGAAGACATGCTCAAGCTGTGATACCTTACCATCCTGTAACACAGCATTGGAAAACCCCAAATGAAAAGTTAAGTGACAATTAACAAACGACGCCACTAAGTTGTATTTGAAATACACGTATGTTGACAAATTGATGAGTCCTATAGATCAATAATAAGCTTAACCAATCTGAGTACTATTCCCTAAGAGTCCAAATTTATCTAATGTCTCTCACAAGATCACCAATTCTAGGGTTTTATACAGCATAAATTTCAAGGATACTTAATCCCCACTTAGAAATCTAAATAAGAAGCAATCCAAAATTTCTCAGCTCACCAAATCTAGGGTTTAACAGCACTAACATCAAACAATGAAATTAAAAACGAAACCTATGGATCAAAAAACAATCTCTTATAAAATGAATCGAGATCTTCGAAGTAACAGTTGAATACCTTGGCGGTGTAAGTAATATCCTCGAGCTGACAGTTCCAGTTATCCTCACACTCAATCATACTTCCTCTGTAAAGCTCACCGCTCTTTAGCTCCACCGTCACGATATGACCTGAGGCCTCGTGAAGAAGCTTCACCGGTATCCCCAAACTTCGGCTCATCTCTCTCTCTACAAAAACCCTAATTAAAAACCTTCTCCTTTAACTCTGAAACCTAGAAAGAAAAAAATGGCGGAAGGAAAGAGAGCGAGTCAGATGCGATTGACAATTTTACCTCTTTAAAAAGCTTTCCTGATTTATTGTTGGGCTTTATATTAGGCCCGTTTATTATATTAAGCCCAACTTGAGAAACTTGCTTTTTAGTCCCTATATTTTGACATTTTTAATCCTTATTTTTGTACAGATGACGGCTGATTTTCAGACGAAGGAACCACCGTTGCGAAAACTCGCCGGAAGATATGGCGGACCAGATGGAGCCCAAAGGAGAGAAGAAGTACAAGTATAGCATAATCATTCCTACATACAACGAGCGCCTCAACATCGCTATCATAGTCTACCTGATTTTCAAGCATCTCCGGTAAATGAATATTATTTCTTTTGATCTTTTCACGTTTCTTCTCTAATTCCATAATCCGGTTCGCGAAGAACTTTCTGTTTTTTTTTTCTTTGACTGAATGCTAAAATTCGAATCTGATCGCCAATTTCAAGTTATGGATCTCGGAAATTTTCCGATCATGTTTCTAGCTTGCAGATCCTAATTCGTGATTGTTGTTTGTGTGCATGAGCTAGTAAAGGCCAATGTAGTGATCCCTCAAACTATATAGGATTAGTTTCAGGGTGTTTTAAAAACTTTGATTTTGTGATCGGAGAATGATCAGAAGCTAGATGTGCTAATCTCAGATCGATTCTGGCTGTGGCTGCTTATTAGAAATTTAATAGAATTGCACTTGTTAAGTAGACTCTTCTCTGTTAAAAGTTACTGAGAATTTGCTTCGTCACTTATTCGTATGATTTAGGGACGTTGATTTTGAGATAATTGTTGTGGATGATGGGAGTCCTGATGGCACACAGGAAATTGTCAAGCAACTGCAGCAATTGTATGGTGAAGACCGTATCGTGAGTACAATTGACGTTTTAGGACCTTAATTGGTAAATTATTGCGTGTTCTTCTGTTTAGGGGAACTTATGTTTTTTTTGTTTTTTTATGATGCAGCTTTTAAGAGCTAGAGCCAAGAAGCTTGGTCTGGGTATGTAATTTGTATCTACATTGTCTTCTAGTTTTGCTTAACAAGAAGTGGAATTAATCTTCTTGGCATGACCAATCTCAGGAACTGCATATATTCATGGTTTGAAGCATGCTACGGGTGATTTCGTCGTAATCATGGATGCTGATCTTTCACATCATGTAAGAGCCACCAATTGAGTTTTCTTGTTTACCCCTCTAATTGTTGAGCTAACCCAGTCACTTTTCTTTTGTGCAGCCAAAATACTTACCAAGTTTCATCAAGTAAGAAAAAGAAAAGTCTCTTGATCTCTTACTAATTTCACAAGCTATAGTAACTTCAATTGACTCTCTTTTTTTCTTATCATGAAGGAAACAACTAGAGACAAATGCAAGTATAGTAACCGGTACACGATATGTAAAAGGTGGTGGTGTACACGGGTGGAATCTTATGCGGAAACTCACTAGTAGAGGAGCAAATGTGCTAGCTCAAACACTTTTATGGCCCGGTGTATCGGATTTAACAGGATCATTCCGGTAAAATTCAAACAACCTACGTGCATCTTTTTTACTGACATCATTCAATAGTTTCATTTCTGACCTCAGCACCTCTTTGTTTGGAAGGCTATACAAGAAATCGGTGCTTGAAGACGTGATTAGCTCATGTGTGAGTAAAGGGTATGTCTTTCAGATGGAAATGATTGTTCGTGCAACCAGAAAAGGATACCATATTGAAGAGGTCTCAATTTTTATATCAATTCACTGTGATTTTGATTCCTTGTAATCTCTTTACTTCATTCATATTCATGATTCCCTGGTGCTCATCTTCATCTGCAGGTACCGATCACTTTTGTTGACAGAGTTTTTGGAACTTCGAAGCTCGGAGGATCTGAAATAGTGGAATATCTAAAAGGCCTTGTCTATCTTCTGCTCACGACTTAGAGACACCAAGCAACTCAACAACACATGTGTCTCTCGTTATAGTTTTATTGCATCATAGATTCTCTTAACATTTGAACTCTGATCATGTCTTTTAGAAACTTCACTTTAGCTTTTTTGACTTCCGAGAGTTACATCTTTTGAGACTCAAAAGTTCATATTACAGACGTTGTTCATTTTGAATACTGAGTTGAGATATCTTACATTTGATAATCAAATTACCTTAACCAACGAAAAAAGGTTTTATGTTTCAGATCGTTCGTAATAATCTTAACACAAATGTACACTCTTTGTTGTTACTTTGATTAAAAATTCAAATGCGCCTTTATAATTTCGGCCCATTTGAGACCTTTTCACTTGCTCTGGCTCTCACAGTCTCACACTCTCACCGACTCTCTCTCTCAAATTCATCCGCATCAAAGCTTCTTCGATTTCCCTCCTAACAATTGGATATGGAAAACCAAAATTCACAGTGATGTCCGAGTCGTTGCTTCGAGTTGATCGCGCTTGCTTAGAAACCCTAATTCCAGGAGCGATGTGCAGTCGCAGAGTTTGGACACACTCAGAACTAACTCCTCCTTCAGTGAGCGTGAATGAATCCGATCTGGTAATGCCGCAAACACTTATTCTTCAGTTTCTTATCGTCAACGCAATTCAACCCTTATTCTCCGCATGTTTGATTTAGGTGAAAGGTCTCTTACAAGCTTTGCAAGGTTTCTCAAGTCCCTTCATTTTCTGGGACCAAAAGGAACAAACTTTCCGCGCTAAAAGTGAGATACGAGTCTCTCATTTGTCTCAGCCAAGCCTTCATGTCCTTCTCGCTGGATTTTTGTATGCCGCAACATGTTTGAAGCTTGTGGAGTCTATTGTTGCTGGAATTAATACCTCTCTTAGATCTCCTCCTACTTTAATGGGATTTTCGAACTCTGTCTCTGGTTGGCTTGAGGCAAGTAGTCCACAACTCCCTTTTCGTGTTTTTTTATTTGGCTTGTTCTTGAACCTTTGTTTTGTTGAGACTGATATACAATTGGGCATTCGAACAGAGACTCAGAGATATTGCTTTGAATGAGGAAGTGAAGATCAACGATTTTAATGTTGCTGTCACTCCAACTCTCTTGGGATTAACTACTTCTTTATCTAGGTGTGTAGCCTAAGTCATTTTTATATCGATGATGCTGTTTCTCGGTTCAAGAACTATATTTTATAGTAGTCTTCACCTTTTTTTTTCTTCTTTCTTTTTGCTAGTCTGTGTTCAGGTGCTGAATATCTTTTCCAAGTTGTACGAGGTGCGATCCCTCATGCGTATTTTGAGTCGACTTCAGCTATTTCAACCGCTGAAATTGCTGTCCACGTTCTTGATTACCTTTACAAGAGGCTGGATGAAGTATGCCTTGTCCAAGGTGGTGAGGTTGTGGCCGTTTTCATGAGTTTTATGTTTTTTTTTTTTGCTTTTGTTGCTGCTCACTTCTCTAATTGGATTATTGAAAATATTTTGACCAGGTGGAAGGATTTCATGTGCTGCTGCAAATATTTGCTGGAAGTTTATTGCCATATGTAGAAGGTTTGGATTCATGGTTATTTGAAGGAACTCTTGATGATCCTTTTGAAGAGGTAGGTGTTCTTGGAGTTGTATTTATGGTCCATGGGTTTTCAACAATTTTCCTCTATCTTTTTTATGCCAACATCAAAGTATATTCTTTACAAGGCTAGCAAATTGAAAGTTTGATGATGATGAAATTCTTAGTTGAGGTGAAGATTAACTTTTGTTTCTTCGCAGTTGTTTTTTTCAGCCAACCAATCTGTCTCCGTTAGCGATGCAGAGTTTTGGGAGAAAAGCTATCTGTTGACGAGGGTGCTGGGTCCAAAATCAAATGTAACTTCGCTAAATCAAAAGAAAGGAATGAGTGGAAATGACTCCAATTCAGTTTCTGACAAAGACAAAGAGCAGAATAATCGGGTGTTATGCCCTCTATTCATAAAAGACATCTGTAAGTCGATTGTTTCTGCTGGAAAGTCACTGCAGCTGATGCGGCATATTCCTTCTACGTCTTCAGAAAAGTGTGGAAAGATTCAGTACCATGGGCAAAATGATTTTGGGAATTCGGCTTGTGGCATACTCCTGGCTGGGAGGAACAGCTTTAGAAGCACTGCAGACTTAGCCTTGTCTGAAATCTTCTGTCTATCACTTGCTGGTCTCATAGGCCATGGTGATCATGTATCTAGATACCTGTGGAAAGATGAGACAGATGAGTGGGAGATTTCTCCAACTTTGCCATTATATATAAGTGGAAGGCTAGTGGATGGCACAGGTGATAGAGATATTTCAGCTCTCACATACTCAGACCGAATGTGGTATAAGTTGTTGGTTGGTGCTGTGCAAGAGAAAAGATCTATAGACGCCAAATCAGAACTCCAGAGTCCATGTTATGTTAGTCATGTTAAAGACGAGAAAAATGTTCTCGTTGCCGAAAAGGTGTTGCAGCGGTTGTTTTGTCATGAAAACCCTGTTGTTTCAGTATCTAAAATGGATCTTGAGAGGAATAAGAATGCATGGAATGTCTTGAACTTATCACAAAACTATTGCCTACCCTCGTTAAATGATGAGAGTTTGTTGAGTGCTGTTTTTGAGGGATCTGGCGTGGCAGATACAGGATTGACCGGAACAAACTACAAATTTGGGTTCCAATTCGGTAGATCTGAATATCTTTCTAATCAGGATGACACCCAAATTCTAGAAACGTTATTTCCTTTTCCCACATTGCTTCCGTCATTCCAGGTACTTAGATACTGATCATTTTATGCCCATTCCTTCACTTTTGTCCCATTTGCAATAGTTTCTGATCGCTTAGTTTGAAATATTTGTGATCAACAAAAACAAAACAAAAAAGCCGAAGCTCCATATGTCAGAATTTCTACCTTTCCAAAAGAATAGTACACTTCCTTCCAGAGTTCTCAGCTGGATGCTTAAGGCAGAGCCAAGGGATACTCCACTTCCTGTTGTAATAATGCAAGAATGCTTGACAATCTACATCAGGAGGCAGGTACTGTGATGTAAGCTTTGCATTGCCACTTGTTGCTACGACATGCATACTTACCTTCTGATAGTTG